GGGGAAAAAGAAGTGAATTTTCCAGAGGCAATCAACATAAAATCAAACACTTTACTAGGCAAATTGTGTTAGTGTCTAAAATTGTTTGAAAAATTCTTATGTTGACTGAATCTAGGTCTATTAGACCTGAGTTATGGGGGTGAGGAGGATGGTTTTGAAGAAAAATATGAAATCACCATGAGAACAATTAACATGAAGACAGATATAATTTTTTAAATAATAGTCATCATGAATTAAATCCTCATTATAATACCTCCCAGAAAGTAATTGGTCATACTGAAAATAATTTTAGTATATTGAAAATGAAAATTAAATACATTAGAAGGGATCTGTGCTTATTGAAAATTAACTCTTTTTAAAAAGTGACTCATGGGTTCAATAGTGTTAATGTAATTTGATCCAAAAGATAGTTTTCTTTCTAAAGAAAGTATCTATATGGTTCCGGTGGCTCCTTGAGTATGAAAGTTGAAACAGGAAAGCGGCTAAGTTCTATTGGGTTCTTTCAAGAGGAGGCTCTGCGGGAACTTCTCCCTTTTTTGAACAGATGAAGGACGATCCTAAGTATCATGGGTGACAACTTGTTTTACATGTTTGTGATGACTTTGAATTGTTTTGGCAGGAACTCATGGGGGAGAAGGGAGACAGAGGAGCACCTGGTGAATCCGGACCTCCAGGACCCCCAGTAGGTTATTTACAATGGCAAACACATCAAAAAGTATCTTAGCTCATAGTGTGACCGACAGTCTACTTTTTAATCATTTTATTTTAATATCTTTGTTGTGATGTGGGTTCAGAGTCCATCGTTCTCCATTCAGCAGCCCAAACACAATTCAACTCATGTCCTACAGAAGTGCCCCACCACATCACAACACTCTTCCCTCTCCATCCTCCTCCTGTCCTGGTCCTTCCTGCCTTCTGACCCTTTTTCAGGGGCAAGGGCTTCCCTTCTCATCTCAACTGGTGGATTATCCTAAAAAAGTGTACCTCCATAGTTGTCGTTCACCTTGTAGGCCAATCTATTTGGCTGAAAGTTGAGCCATGGAAAGGTGGAAGGTATTGATGGGGAGGAGGTCAGTTCAGTTCCAAGCTTTAAGGGTGACAAGGGCCATGGTCCTGGAGATTTCACCAGTCCATCAGATCACTATCTATCATTTTAACTTTCACTCCATATTTCTCCCCCACTCATCTGAGACCTTCTATTGTGATTGCTTTCAGAGTGGTTGGGAATGGGAGTCGGGCATCATCTAGTTCTTCGGGTCTCAGGGGCATGAATACATTTTAATGTTAATCTTAGTTAAAACATGATAGCGTTTGGCTGCAGCATTCTGGAACAGAAGTACGTGAGGTTCACATGCAGCCTAAAATCTTTGCATTGCTGTACCTGAATCAAATATTACTCATCTTTTAGCTGAAGCATCTGTTGTTAGGTAAATACTCGTCCATGAAGTTTATTCCTCTGAACATTGTAAAATACTGTAGATGAATCAGGAAGGACAAGCAGGTCAAGCTTGAAGATAAACAAGCAGCCATCTAGCTCAGAAGCAACATATCAGCCAGTGTGATCATGAGGTGTCAAAGGGATCA